ATGTGAACATCATCATCTTACCTGAAAACACTGAAGACGTGAATCAGACTCGGCTCTGCTCAGTCAGGTTCAGTCCGATAAAGGCAGGACTTCATCTTAGCTCCACACTCTGGCTTTTCAGCAACAATGACCTTTCTTCTGATTATAATGGAGGTTATAATGAGGCCGGGAGACGTTAATTACACAAAGTTACATCAGATCCTTTGCATCAAAAATGTAAATTGGACACAGGATAGCAAAGGAACACCAGAGGGACCGACTTTTAGTTTCCTCTGTGGCTATAAACAAGCATCTGCAAAGTAAACACAGACATAATTGTCTTTACCAGGATAACAATCAACATTAAAAAACTCATTTGCTTATGTTTGTGTTTGTGTTTGTGTGTGTGTGTGTGTGTATACACATATCATTCTATGGCTGTGTGGACAAATTTTGGTTACAAATCATCTTTATGAGGATATTATGGCCATTTATCATAACCTCCACAGGCTGTTTTAGGGTTAATACTTCATGTTTAACGTTAGAATCAGGTTTAGTATTAGAGTAAGTGACTAGGAAATGCATTATGTCAGTGAATGTCCTCACAACTACAGAAAGACAAACATGATGACGGGGGTGACTGTGGTTCTGTGGGTAGAGCAGTTGTCTCCCGATTGGAGGTTCTAATCTCGGTACCTGCAGTCCACATGTCGAAGTGTCTTTGGGCAAGACACTGAACCCCCAAGTTGTCCCCGATGGTTAGAGCCATCGGTGCGAGTTGACGCCGCAGATGGCTTCCTTGGTTCTGTACCAGAAACAAATGCCTTGTGTGTAATATACTTGTCCAAATAAAGGTGTTTATCCTTATGAATGTGAGTGTGCTTGTGTATCTATCCAACAGTGGACCATTGGGACAAAAGGGGACATTTAGGAACTGTTTTGGGAGGATTTTTTTGTTCTGAGCTCAGTTTGCCTTGTTTTTGTGTGTGCACACAGAAGAGAAGTTTTTCCTAGCATTTGGTTCTGTTTTTTTCTCTGTTACCTGTTTGCCTGTTATTTCTGAAGAAATTACGCTGAGGTTTTTCCTTGTTTGTTTGGTCGCCTGCTCACCTGTTCTCTCTTTTCCTGAGTGCTGTAATTTGTACAGAGATGTTTTCCTGTAGAAGAATATGCCATACTAACCCAACTTCTCACTTGCCTGGTCCATCTTCACCTGTAAGGGCAGAATCAGATCACTCACCTGCTCACTTACCTGCCTGGTCTCTGACTGAAACAGTGTGTGAAGCATCCTCCTTCCCACAGCCAATTCCAAAAGCTCCAAAGACATCCCCAGGACAGAGCCAGCCTTCCTGGTCAGTTTGTTCAGTTTGCTGGTATCACTGGCTTTGATGTTGCTGCCCCAGCAGACGGCAGCAAAGAATGTTACACTGGTCACAACAGACCAGAAAGGTGAGGGGACGGTGCTGCTCTTGCTCTGTTGACCTCCTGTTCAGACTCATATCCCCACAGTCGCACAGACCGTGGTCTGTGCCAGGTCTTCAGTAATGCAGGAGGTTCTGGAGGCATCTACCTGCATCTTATCTCTGTGTTATAGGTTGGATTGTGTTAAAGGCCCTGTAGGAATCAAAGAACATGATTCTCTCAGTGCTGCCTGCTTTGTCCAGGTGAGAAAGAGCTTGCTGTAGAAGATAGATGATGGCATCGTCAACTCCCGCCTGAGGGTGATAGGCAAACTGCAGCCAGTGGAGGATCACCTGAGGTCTGATGGGACAAAATAAGTCTCTCTGAGACTTTCATTATGTGGGATGTGAGAGCAACCAGCCTGGTGTAACTGAGGGCAGAGGGACATGACTTTACTGGCATTAAAATGCAGTAAAATGTCTTCCAAAGCACTGGGACCGTCTCCTGGTTCAGGCTAAGATGAAACTGGTGCTGTAGAATCCCCACACTGCTTGCCCCAGAGATCCACAGGCATTTTGCCAAAACTTTTGAAATTTGGTAAAGGGCTCCAAGCAGACTAATGTAAAATTTGCTCATGATTTGTTGTTGCCCTTTAATTACTGGTGTTCTGCTACTAATGTTGATTCCTTTGTGAGCCTTCATAAGTTGATGGCGTTGGAACAAGTTCTAAAATCCACTCCACAATGTGCTGTGATGAACATAAAATGACCACACTACTTAATGTGGCTTAAAGCATTTGGGTGATGTGAGCGGTAAAGAAACGGATGGTTGTGGTTACTGCCATAACGGTAAGTTTCCAGCATTTATGCCCTTTCAATAGTGAGGTGTTGTGCATTGGAAAAAATCTTGTTAAAGCCTAAAATTAAACATGAATTCATTGCTGGTTCCTGCTTTTTCTTGTTTGACTGTGTCAGGTTTGAGTTCTGTGGTAGATGAGACACCTACTGCATTTAAGCCATTTATTACAGATTTTGTTTTGTGTATTTTTTGGTGATGAACAACAAATACCAATAAAACTTTTGCATGACAATGGGATTAAGCACTCATTTGCTGTGGACACTGTGCTGCTGTTGTCATCTTTAGTAGAGATGAAGCACACACTTTCAGAGCAGGAAATGGAAATGGGACTGGTATCAGTGCTTGATACTGTGCTTGACTGTGATCAGGTGAAGGGCACAGTGTCATTTTGTGTGCATCCTACATTGCTGGTTCATGGTGTTGTTAAGATTTTGGGAACACCCCCAGCTGTTGCTGCTGTGTGGGCTGATGTGTCACCTTGTCCTGTGCTTGTTTTTGAGCTTCTTGCCTTTATGGAGCTGGATGATAATGATCAGAGATATTTGCAGCCTGTGCTATGACACATGCAAACTCTTGCAATCAGACAGTCCTTGACCTGTCTACTCCTCTTAACAAGCAGAAAGAGAATGTAAAATTTGTGGTTTCTTGCTCGTTCTTTCTCTTTGTTTTTTGATAAGAGTGGGTTTTAAATCAGCAGGTCAGCTGATCAGTCTCTAGCTCAGGGCTGCCCAATACGTCGATCGTGATCGACCAGTCGATAGCAAAGGTAGTGTCGGTAGATCTCGCGTCACTATAATCAGCTTAGTTAATGCTTTCAAACGAAAAATGCAACATTTTGGGAAACTTCCAAAACCTTGCATCAGAGCTGGAGACGCAACGGAAAGCATGTGTGCAACTTGACATTGCACGCTATACAAAGCAGATTGACAATTGTTGGTCAGAGTTTGACAAAGGCTTTCAAGACTGTCTCACTCGAGCCAGTCTCTACATTTATGTGCTATCCGTTTAGGGAAGATATTGAGGTTGATTCACTTGCATCAAAAATTGCAACGCTGTTTCACCTGAACTGGTCTGGAGTGGAGGATGAAATTTTAACACTACAGACTGACTTTCAGCTGAAGTCCAGGGCTAATTGACCGTTTTGGAAATTATGCAAGGTGCACCAACATATATTGTGTTTACATAAGGTATACTCCCTATATAAATAATGTTTAGTATTTTTAATGTAGATAGATCATTTTAACTTGGTCATTTGAAAAGTAGCTCACAAGGCAAAAAAGGGTGGGCACCCCTGCTCTAGCTAGTTTGCAAGACAGTGGTCTTCCAGAAAATTAAATAATGACTGTGGCTCATGGTTATATCCTGAGAATAGTTTACTTGTTAAGAAACAGGTGCCATGTGGAATAAGTTTGTTGGTGAACATGCGTTTGAGATTGCTGTGCTGAAGAAGTTTCAGGACATGGTGCTGAAGATAGCACTGGACAATTCAGAGAATTTGGGTGTAAAGAAGACTTATGACCATGTCCTGTGTTATTTGTGCGAGGACTTGCACTGATAGATAGTGGTAATTGGGTGCACCTGAACCCAGTGCACAATAGCTATTATATATCAGATACACTAATCTTTTTCGAGGCTCGTACGGTGGGTTTCTGTCTGTGGTGTGTCCTGCTGCCTGGTTTTGATTTTTGTTTTTTCTCCTTTTGTTTCAAGTCCTGAGTTTATCTGTTCTTTTCTTTAACCAAAATGTGAACTTTTAAATGTTAAATGCGTTTAATGGCTTTTTAAACATACATTTGCTGTATAAGGTTTTGAGTATTAACAAACTGCTAAAGAATTATCACTTCTACATGCAAATCCACATTAAGCTGTTTAAGTGTTGAGTTCTCTTGTGTCTTGTGTCCAGGCAGCAGAGAGGCAGGTTTCCTTCCCTGTCAGGACACTGTGCTGACATTCTTCGTGGCTGAAACAGTAGCAGACCTGAACCTGACCAGTGTCCTTCTGATGGACTCTTGCAGCTCCTTGTTCCTCAGACTGTAGATCACTGGGTTCAGGAAAGGAGTCAGAGCAGCGTACAGCACAGCTACAATGATACGAACCTAAAATATATAAAAAAATATTTGTTTATTTTGTCTTCTTTTATCTATAGGACACAAAGAGATGACTCATCTTATCTGGCACTTTTCCCTACTGAGAATGAAAAAGTAGATCAGTCTGTGTTCAACATGTTTCCACATCTCTCAACCACACCTCGTGGCCTTCATCAGTGGATGCAGTTGCTCATGGAGGTGGTTGACCTATAATGTGACCTGCAGTTGATTCAGAAAGTATTCATGCTCATTCAGTTGCTGCTTTTTTGTGATATAAATTTAATTTGAAATTGATAATAGATGCTTTCAGTTTGACAGAGCTTGACAGGATCTGTCAGCAAGAGAAAAAGCACCTTAAATGTCAATTTCTGTGGACATAGGTACTAAAACAAAATGAATAATAATTAAAATCAAATTATTTGAGTCTCGTACCTCTGGTGAAAAGTTTCCCACACGGTAGGAGATGTACACAAAGGAAGCTGAGGTGAAAGAGATGGACACCGCGGTCAGGTGGGCACCACATGTCCTGAAGGCCTTCAGCCTCTGAGCAACACCCATCTTTGATATGGAAATGCCAATGAGGATATAGGAGGTCAGGATGAGGAGTCCTGGGATCAGTAGAGACACAGTGGCAAAGCAAAGGGACACAATGTTATCAAATGAGATGTCACCACATGCCAGTTGCCTTACAGATGCTGGGTCACACCAGCCATGTTTCAGCACATTTGGCCTGCAGTAAGATCGGCGCACAGCCAGGATGGTGACTGGTAGGATAATAAATATGCCAAAGCCCCAGGCTCCTGCTATAAGGAGTAGTCGGACGTTCCGGGTCATGATGGAGGTATAGTGCAGAGGTTTGCAGATGGCTGTATAGCGGTCGTACGCCATCACAGTCAATATAGAATGTCCTGTAGTGGATTGTTGAACAAAGAAAAACATCTGCACAAAGCAGCCCTGGATGGAGATGATTGACACATCTGACAGGAAGCCAGCCAGCATTTTGGGGATGGTGTTGGTTGTGTAAACCATGTCCACAAAGGAGAGGTTGGCGAGGAAGAAATACATGGGAGAGTTGATTTTTGGATCAGTCAGTGTCTGTGTGAGAAATAACAGTGGCAATGATTCAGTCTCAGTAATACAGACAATACAGATTAAATACAGGCACAAAGTTTTGTATAATACCACAAAGATGATTATGCTGTTTCCTCCCAGGATGATGATGTAACCCAGCAGCAGGATGACAAACGGGATCATCTGTCTGTCACCAAGGCTGGAGAGGCCCTGGATGATGAAAAAGGTGACACTGTCAGGTTCCCTGGTGCCGTTAACAGAGCTGGATCTGTGACTGGTCGACAAGGGTTGGTCTGAATCTGGAGACACAAGTAGAGAGGTGTCAGTGTTGAGTCACAGTCAGGACATCAGGAGGTTGAGTGCACTTCGAGGATCATGGTCCATGTTCACCAGGTGAATGGTGCATTTCATCCTGGGTCACATGGAATTTTACCTCAACATGTTTGTAGTTCCATGCTAATTATTCATACACATGGAAGAATATTTTTTTGTGTGTAATCATATATATACACAGTGGCAAGAAAAAGTAATGGTCCTATTAGCAACTTTCTGGTTTTAAATGAAATGATTCTATGTTTTTCTTTGTTTCACTTCATAATAAATTAAATATATTATAAACTAACAAAGGAAAACATTCTATATCTAATATACAAAAAATATAACAACCAATGAACACATTTTATAGACTGTAGAAAAATGTATGTTCAGTCTGGTTACAAGGATGGTTCTGGAAGTGGCAAGGGATTATAATATAAATTAGTCTTGGATCAAATGGATCAAACAGAACAATGATTAGAAAACAAGCATTCATTGTTAAGAAAGCTCAGAATCAAGAAAATCCTAACGAGGTTCATTCCATACTGAATGATCAATGTAGCATGATGAAATAAAATGGGTTTATAGCACAAAACATGAAGGTGCACGTTTCATTCACTCTCAGGTCAAATAGATTTTCAACTTTCAACACCTGAAACAAACCTTGTTCTAAATCCTGATTAATTGAGTTGTTAGTGAAATATTAAGTGTAAATATGTACAGAAGGGTGTTTTAAATTCAGTTCATGTCAGTAATGCTTTTCTCTGGACATAAAATCAAAACAATGTAGTATACAACTATAGTATTGTAAGAGAAGAAGTTATTGTCAAGCCTTTATGAAAATTAAATAAAAAAAAAAAAGCTCAGCACTGAGATAAATTTAGGGATTAGTAAATTATGTCTTGAAAGGAATGTGTCATTGCCTTCAATTACTGAAAAATAGTTATTATTGATGTGATAAAAATGCACATTAAAAAAACTTATGCCACGCCATTTTCTAGCAATAAAAAGACTTTGTTCATCAATTGCATTTTTGTAACAAAACAACAAATTGCCTTTTGCTATCCCCACATATCTTTACAACAGTGTACCACAGAGTCAGCAACAATGAAAAGCACAGAAACACTCACAGACCTCTGGGGTTTTCAAGTGAGGCCTGAAGCGGCCAAAGCTCCATTTCCCCTCAGCACAGACAGATGATAGATGGCTGGATGGAGACAGATTTGCTGTCAACAGACAACAAGTGCAGACTAACTTCATCTGTTCACAAGCTCCATTTGATAGCACACAAGACACAGGTAATAAACAGTGATCAGGCTTTAAACATCTCAGCCCCTGCACAATAGAAAACAACTTGCAAACACCAGACCATGATCTATACAACATGTAAACATCTTCATCTTACCTGAAGACGTGAATCAGACTCGGCTCTGCTCAGTCAGGTTCAGTCCGATAAAGGCAGGACTTCATCTTAGCTCCACACTCTGGCTTTTCAGCAACAATGACCTTTCTTCTGATTATAATGGAGGTTATAATGAGGCCGGGAGACGTTAATTACACAAAGTTACATCAGATCCTTTGCATCAAAAATGTAAATTGGACACAGGATAGCAAAGGAACACCAGAGGGACCGACTTTTAGTTTCCTCTGTGGCTATAAACAAGCATCTGCAAAGTAAACACAGA